GGGAGCAAAAATGGGATTTTGGGGAGCAAAAATGGGATTTTTCTGTGGCCAGGGATGGTGGTGACCCCGACATGATCAGGCGTGAAAAGGGGAAAATGGGAATTTTGGGGGAAAAAACGGGAATTTGGGGAAAAAATCCCCCAAAAAAATGGGATTTCAGGGGAAAAAATGGGGGTTTGGGGCAGAAAAATGGGATTTTGGGGAGCAAAAATGGGATTTTTCTGCGGCCCGGGACGGTGGTGACCTCGACATGATCAGGGGTGAAAACGAAAAAAGATGGGAATTTGGGGAAAAAAATGGGAATTTTGGGGAAAAATGAAAAAAAATTGGGGTTTGGGGGGAAAAATTGGGGTTTTGGGAGCAAAAAATGGGATTTTGGGACATAAAAATGGGATTTTTTGGGGAAAAAAACAGGAAAATGGGGTTTGGGGATGAAAAAATGGAATTTGAGGAGAGAATTCAAAATAACCAGGAGTTTGGGGGGAAAAATGGGAATTTTGGGGAAAAAAAATCCCAAGAAATGGGGTTTGGGGGAAAGAAATGGGATTTTGGGACCAAAAAATGGGATTTTGGGAGAGAATTCTCAAAGAAAGGGATTTAGGGGAGAAAATTCCTAAAAAAAAATGGGATTTTGGAGAGAAATTCCCAAAAAATGGGATTTTGGGTAAAGAATTCCCCAAAAATGGGTTTTTGGGTAAAGAATTCTTAAAAAATGGGATTTTGGATAAAAAATTCCTAAAGAAAATGAGTTTGGGGAGAAAAAAATGGGATTTTGGGATGGGAAAATGGGATTTTTCTGCAGGCCGGAATTTCCCTGGGATTTTGTGGGATTTCAGTGGAATTTCCATGGAATTTTATGGGATTTAAATGAGATTTTTATGGGATTTGATAGGATTTCCATAGGATTATATGGAATTTTCCTGGGATTTCCATGGGATTTTCGTGTGATTTTTTTGGGATTTCCATGGAATGTTTCGGGATTTCAATGGAGTCTCCATGGAATTTGATGGGATTTCAATGGGATTGTGACAGAAAAAACCCATTTTTTGATGGATTTCAATGGAAAATTCCCATTTTTTGATGGATTTTAATGGAAAATTCCCATTTTTTGCTGGATTTTGATGGGAATTTTCCCGTTTTTGGCCGTTTTCACCCCATTTCTCGTGCCCAGCGTGATCCTGGAGGCGCCGGTGACGTCTCCGGAGTTCCTGGAGCAGCTGCAGGATTTCGATGGGATTTTTTTTGGATTTTAACGGGATTTTAATGGAAAATTCCCATTTTTTGATGGAAAATTCCCATTTTTTTCTGGATTTTGATGGGAATTTTCCCATTTTTTGCCATTTTCACCCCATTT